TTGTCTGTAAGCCATTTTTATCCTCAATTAATATTAAGCCCTGAAATAGGTAATGGACTAATGTTAGCACAAGAATTCTGCAGTAAAGTGCATTTCTTTTAGCTTAGTTGCAAAATTTCATGGACGTTTGCTGCAGAACTTCATGGAAGTTTATCTGTAGCTTGAGCACATATCCTTATGAAATGCCAGAATTATGATGGTGATGCCTAGATGTTCTGTTCCTCTCCACTCTCATTTTCCTCCTACCAGGGTGGTGACACAGCACAGATCTTTCAGGGAGTGGTAGAAGAATTGTGAAAGGGTTGCACTTTACTTTCAGTCATGCAAGAGAATCTGTGATGAGGAACTGTTGAATGAGGATTTTATGGAAACTCTTTCTGTAGTGCTGCCTCTATGCCAGGATAAACACGATGATGTGTTTTACAAGTTTTACAACCTCCTCCTGTCTTCCAAAATTTAATGGGTCGGGGGGAGGGGGAGAGAAGCTAGTTTGGATTGTATTGCCACCTCTATGCTGGTTTGTCATTGTTTGGCCAACCCTTTTTCATTGCAAGCATGCTTTCTTTATACCTTAAGCATTAAGAAAATGTCTTTAGTGAGTCAAATCCATAATCAATAATGACATTAAAAGCTTTTGTTGACTAGGTAATTATGTAGCCACCTTCTCAGACTGATAGTTTTTTATGTGTCAGTAACTAAGTAGGAAAAAGTTGGTTTCTATTCTTGACTCTGAATGTTCATGCTTTTACAGGATTAAGTTGGACCCTGATGATTACCTTAATGCATTTTTCACCTTTCAGTTTTGTTTCACAAAGATGATTTCTGCATCAAACTCTGGATGAATAAGTACTCTGGGTTTTGCAGTCATGTATAATTGTTACTCTAAATGGCCTTTTGCTATATAGTCCATCCCTTTTTATTACACTTGCATTACCAAATAATACACACAACACCATAAAATGTTTCAAATGCACACTTTTTGGCTTTTGGTTGGGAATGCAGCTATAAACAGGAAATGAACCACAGACATACTTGAGTTTGCAGATTGCTTGTTCAGCACAAAGCATTACGGTTGGCAAACCTTCTCTAGAATGCGGTGAGTGTGATGTCAGTTTCCTGCACTCTGCACAATGGCAGTGTCTCAGTTTCAGACACTGGAAAAGCTCTTTCTCTGGGCATGTTATTCTTTGTAAAAATACAACACTTTTACAACTGCTTTCTTCAAGCAGATGATATAAGATGTACATTACTTTTATGTGACAGAAGCAGTTTCATCTGTACAGTCTCGCATGCAAACATGCTTGTAATGAGAGGGAAAGTCCTTAAGTTATATTTCAACAAGTGTGTAGGCCATCAGTCAACTCGTAACCATTTCTTTGCCTTATCACAACTATGGTTATGATTCAGTACAGTACAGTTCACAGGACGGATCAAGCACCTGCCATCCAATGGTTTACCAGTTTAAGAACGACTAAATGCACCCGGTTTCTTATCTGAAAGTGCAGTTTCCAGTACAGGTGTGAAAAAAGGCAAAATTTTGTGAGAATAAAAGAGAAGTATTTGATGAACATTACATTTTTTAAAAATATGGAAATTTGCTACCTAGGTACAGGCAATTTGGTCTGGGTGACTGACTGTTTTAGGGTGCAGTCTAATACATTTCTCTAAAAGATGCAGCTTGTTGTTTTGTTGCAGGGGTAATTGGTGGGAAATTCCTGGAAAGAGGTCGTGTTCCAAAGCCCGGGCAGGAGGTCTTTAAGAGTGAAATGTCTGAGTACTACACGGCCCAGGATCTGTATATTGGAGCCAAAATATGTTTCCATGGCCACGTCTTCCTTGTGGTGGATGCTGATGAGTATGCTTTCAACTACATGGAGAAGCATGCAAATGAGGCAAGCTGTGTTTTCCAATCCTTATTTGGCCTTTGAGCCATATGAAGTATTATTATCTAGCTTCAGTAATGGTTGCTCTGAAAACCTTTGTTTATTCATCCCAAGATCAACACACAGCCAACACTGTTTGACTTGAACACATAGTGGTGCAATTTGTCCATTTCTTCAACCTACTGCATGCAAAATACATATAAGATAACATGTTTGGTAAATGTCATGGAGTTTCTATGTCCATAATGATTCCAGTTTGCAAATTTACTTTCATAGTATCCTAATCCTGCCTTTGTTTCCATAAAGAACAAAACTGAAAAAGCAATAAAAGGGAACTGATGATAGAGTCTGTGCTGTACCAGTTAATTTTCCCACGCAACAGATAAAGGAACTGATGCTAACCAAACACAATCTATAAGAATATCTGATAGTTGTTATGGTTGCCTCTTGCCATAGCATTTGTGCAGCCCTCCTGAAGTAAAAGTGTAACCCAGGTTGGAAGGAGCTGTAAATAGGATGTTGAAATGGATAATGTAGTCTTGGGGGCATTTCTTTGGATTGCACATGTTAGCTACAACATCCAGACTGTTACATTTTTAGACATAGTGATGCATTTTCTCCAGAGGTTTCAAAAGAGGGTCTGAAACAGAATTTGCAAATCTTTACTACTGGGAATAAGATTAGGTTAGATGACAGGTTAAACATAAATTGAGGGAAATGCCAACCGAACTCACATTTGATGTGTGACCTAACAGTTACCTCAAAAATAGTGTGTGTGGGGCTAAATCATCTCCCAAACATGATGTGGCTGCAGACGGGTTTCATCATTCCCTCCTTTCTACCCCATGGACTTTGCTGGCAGAAAAGGGCAATGGGGGTGGGCTGTTTGTCCTATTGCCAATTCCATATGTCTACCCGGAAGGCATGTGGAACTGGCAGTAAGACAAACAGCTTGGTTCTCACAGCCCTTTTCTGCTAGCAAAAGTGCACAGGGTAGAAGGGAGGGAATGATGAAACCTCACCTGCAGCCACATCGTGCATGGGAGACACACCCCCCCCATTTTGAAGGTGAGTCCTAGGTCACATGTTAATTCAACGGGTTGGAGTTTCCCTCACCCAACTCACGTTTTTACATATAATCTCATCACACCCTAAGGAACTTAAGACACTGAGATGCAGTTCAGGTATGCGTGTGACTTTGGGCCAATGCATTTAGTTCTCTGCACCCAGTTTCTGAAGAGCTGTTTATCAGCCTAGGTGAGATGACTGCCTATCTTTTGGTTCACATTTCATATCAACATTCAGTGCAAACTCTGTGCTTTCCAGCTTAGTGCACTCCTTGTTACGGAGCAGTTGCACAATATGCAATAGATGATCAGCCTTTACATGATTTCTTCAGTGCATGGACAGGTTCACATGCATTCTCACCTGGCCCCATTTTATATAGGTGTATATCATAAGTAAAAAAACCCCTGTTATAGTTTTTGGTCTTCAAATTGTTGTACATTTACTAAAAATGATTTATCTGTTTTGAATATATCCTCTGTTCTTTTCCCCTACCATCTATTTTCAGTTTGCCATGGCCAATATCAGCACCATCTTGAACAAACTGAAAGCAATAGGAGAGCCAAAGTCAAGAGAGATTAAGCAGATTTTTGCAGCTACTGATCCTCAGCATACCACTGTTATGGACTATGATGAATTCAGGTAAGACGGTGGAATACATGTCCCAGAAAGACAGTTTAATTCAGTGCTCTTAAGTTTTAGAACTGCTTCTGTGTGAGGTCCCCATCAGTAAGAAATAATGAGAAAGTCCACAGGACTGTGGATAATCTGGCTGTCTTCATCTCACAGACCATAAACAGGCTTAAATATTGCAGCCTTTTTAGTAACAGAGGAGCCATGGAGCTTTCTTTTGACCTGCTTCGCTGCATGTTGAAGTTTCATGTGGGATTCTGCCATCTCTCTGCTGCATCTGTACGCAGGATAATACAATTTTTGACATTTCACACGAGTAATCGCTTTAAAGTTTATTTTGATTTATATCTCAACAAATCCAAAGACTCATTGTGGCATAGTTCTCATTTTTATTTCATTCTTTTTCAAAAGATCTCTGAACAAGTACATTGTTCAGTCACTTCCTATTTTATCTTTAAAACATCCGTGCAAGGTAGCTGAGAGAGCATGACTGGTTGCAGCAGGTCACCTACTGAGTTTTATGAATGAAGATTGGTGCTGGGGGGGGCAACAGTGGGAGGGCTTCTAGTGTCCTGGCCCCACTGGTGGACCTCCTGATGGCACCTGATATTTTTGGTCACTGTGTGATGGAGTCTTGGACTGGATGGGCCATTGGCCTGTGTTATGTACTGAGCTGGAATGCTACATAGGACCTTGACCAAGCTTGAGTAACCAAACAATAGACAGCCAGGATCCTGGAAGGAACCAATTACGCCAGAGTGGGAGTGTAAATAGCCCATCACTGGGTGTGGGTGTGTGTTGGGTGTGGTGTTGGGTGCACATTTAAGCAGAGCTGTGGTCCTGCTGAGGTCGTCTTAGAGTTTAGCTGAAATCACTAATAAACTATGAGCTGATCACTCAACGCGTCTGAACCCAGTATATTTCACTGGCGACAAAAGTGGGATCCTGACGAGCAAGCCTGATCCAGCTGATAGCACTGCATCGCGCTCCAAGCCCCAGAGCCCCGTGGTGTCGGACAACGGAACCGTTTTCACCTCGGGTGATTTCCAGGAATTCATGGGCTGTTACACAATCCGACACATCCAATCCGCTCCTTTCCAATGGCCAAGTGGGATGGTGAGGACGACCAAAGAGTCCCTCTGGAGGATCATCCCTGGAGACTGGGATCACCAACTCGCCGTCTTCCTTTTTGGCCATCGGGTGACACCGAGCATCTCCACCGGTCGCAGCCCCGCCAAACTCCTCATGGGCCAGCATCTAACTACCTGCTTAGATAGGCTGCATCCGGATCATGCTCCAGAACACCACCCGGCGCTTGAGAGCCAAGCTACGCCCTGCGGGTTCTTCCCAGATGATTCGGTCTATGCCCGCAACTTCTCAAATGGCCCAGCGTGGATTCCCGTGAAAATCACTAGGGTAACGGGGCCCCTTTCCTATGAGGTGTCCACCGAAGATGGCCAGGTGCTGAGAAGGCACATCGATCAGCTCTGCAGCCACCTCCTCCCAGCAGAGCCTGAAGATCTCGATGTGGAGCTGCCCCACCCCCAAGAACTGGTGCCCGAAAGGGAACAACCAGCTACTGGTGACCTGCCAACGACCAGCGAGCAGTCAGAGGAACCAGCGGACGATGCGCTGGAATCAGCAGATATTGAGAGACTCAAGGTTGTGCCAACCCCGCCACCTCCCGTCAGCACCGCTGCGGCGCCAGTGGACTCCAGACCAGGAACCCCAGCCCCACAGTCAGAACTGCATTGTTCAACCCAGGAACGACACCGTCCCGCATATCTTAGAGACTTATTTTGTTAAAGGGGTTCTGAACTTTGGGGGGAGGGGTGTTATGTACTGAGCTGGAATGCTACCTAGGACCTTGACCAAGCTTGAGTAACCAAACAATAGACAGCCAGTATCCTGGAAGGAACCAATTAAGCCAGAGTGGGAGTGTAAATAGCCTATCACTGGGTGTGGGTGTGTGTTGGGTGTGGTGTTGGGGGCACATTTAAGCAGGGCTGCGGTCCTGCTGAGGTAATCTTAGAGTTTAGCTGAAATCACTAATAAACTATGAGCTGATCACTCAACGCATCTGAACCTAGTATATTTCAGCCTGATCCAACATTGGCCTCTCTTATGTTCTTAAGATTTGAGCCCAGGGCTTGCCAAACTATAGTCTGACACCACTAGCCATGCTGGCTGTCAAACATGAGAATACATAGTTGTCAGATCTTGGAAGCTAAGCAGAATTTACCCTGATTAGTATTTGGATGGGAGACCACCAAGGAATTTCAGGATCGCTTTGCAGAGGAAAGCAATGGCAAATCACCTCTGTTAGGTTCTTGCCTTGAAAACCCTTTGGGGTCACCATAAGTCGGCTGCGACTTGATGGCACTTTACACCCCCCCCCCCAAGAAAGTCAGCAGTATACAGAACAAGTGTGTGTTTAATGCACGTAATCATTTTGAGTGACCTTTGCAAACTAATGTCTTTAAATCGGTTACACTGCAACTGGTTTAGTAACTCATATAAGTTTTTAAAATCTGAAATTTCCTTCCAGTCCATTCTTCCTTGGGTGCTGACAAAACAGATATTTACAGATGTCTTTTCTTGCTCAGGGTAATTGTTTACTTGTTGTTCCTAATATAAAATCATTCAGAACAAGCTGGAATGTCTCAAAGCGTTCACTGTCTCTGTCTCAAAGCGTTCACAACCTCTAACTCAGAAAATGATCTGTAGTATAGGATTCTAATGAAATTTGGCTTTGCTGTACATATATAAGAAAACTTGCTTGCCTTGTTTTATTTCCATGTTATAAGAAATAGCCGATATTCCTATATGTATTTGATCAAATATTCTAGAAGGTAGTTTATGCTTGATGAGTAGATAAAACGAGCATACAATCTGATATGCAGATGACAGTTTTGCATTTCATTGTGCAGTGGAGCTTGACTAAAACAAGCCTTGATGTAGCTGCTGGTTAAACATGAACCCTATGATGAATTGCTGTGATACTAGGCCAATGTAGACAATACTTTTTAGTCTCATAAATGTTTCCAGCTGTCCCCCAGTGTGTGCTTCATGTGAACAACTGTAACTTGTGAATGAAAGTTCATGGATATTGACTACAGTGGGTCCCATAACCTTGGAGGCATATTTTCTGCTCTCAGCTGCATACTGCTGCAGCCTAGTATTCAGGTGCCACAAAGAACATGACTAAAGAAAATTAAAATATTAAAAAGAGTTCCTTTAACCCCTTCTTAGTTTTCCCATCAGCTGTCAAGTCCCTAAAAAGAATGCTTGAAATTCTTCTTAAAATGACAGCTGTACCATCCATGTATCTTGGTAACAGAAGAACAGCTTACCTTAGACTGTTCTTGCAAAGTGTCTGGTCCAGTGCTACAGCATATCTGAGAGATGCAAAAGATTATTTGCTAGTCCGCTCTTTAGATGTCCCTCTTTTTCATAAGAAGAAAACTGTTTCAGTCCAGCTCTGCTTGTGCTCCTACATTCTTCCTTCCAAAGCATTCTTGTGTAGAAGCTTTGAAGCTTCATCAGACTTGGAGTTCCAGACTGCAGTTTTGTTGTCTCACTTTTAAGTTCCATAATGACGCACAACATAGGTGTTTCTCACTGTCTCGTCTTAAAAGTGTACCTAGGAAGATGAAGCCTACAGGTTCTTGGACTGAAAGCAAGTATCACTTATTGACCTGAAGTACTTTCAAAGGTATTTAATTGCATATAGTATTTTCTTTCATATATACATAATTATTTATTTTGAATTTCACAGAAAAGTGATGATGAATATCTCAGATGGAAAATTATCAGAACATGAAATTATGACTGTTGGGCGATATTACAGTGTAAGAGATAAGAATGAAATGGACATTACATTCCTTCTAGCTGTGTCCCAGGAGCATCTGAAGAAAAGTAGCTTCGAGAACTTTGGTCAACTTTTGGCATCCTTTGTATACAATGACAGAGACAAGTAAGGATTCTGTTTTCTCTCCGAAGACTAAATGTATTAATTCTCTCCTGTCTAAGAAACGAGAGAATATAGCATTTCTTACCAAACTTGCTCCCAGTGTTTTTGCAGAAGAAACGTGGCAGGAAAATTGCCCAGTTTCATTCTGAATGCTGGGTCTGCCCTGCTAACGTCTACTAACCACAGTCCTGATGTGATCTATCTCCCATCAGCATAGGGGAACCAACATTCTGTTGACATAATTCAGTCATTGGTTTTAGTTGTAGAGAGTTTAAAAGATTATTAAACTGCCTTTTGAAATCTGTGGGAATTATAACCTGATTCTAAATACATTGAGTTGTATCCAAAGGTGTCCTGTTAGGACTGGAAGGTACCTCCACTTGTGCAAGGCAGCAGGGCTCTATAATTTCTGTGGGTTTTCCAGTTGCAGCACAGTCTCCCATGGTGCATCCATCCCCATGTGTTTGGATGGGAATATTATATTGCTTAAGGCCAGATCATTTGCTATGTTAGTTTGCTGATGACTCAACAGCTTTGCTTCTTTCATTACATGAATGCAAGAGACAAATGTGGCTGAAGTGCAAGGCCGCTTCAGTGACAGAATGGCAAATGGCATGCTGCTGTTTCTCGGTGTCCCTTCTTCACTGGACATGCTTTGTCTTTACTGTGCTAAGTATTCTATCACACTGCTTGGATTTCATTACCACAGTAAAATGTTTCTGATAATGTTAACAAGTTATAGGCCAAAACAGCTTAGTCAGCTCAAAACTCTAGATTTAAAAGAGAAGATAAATATTTCTCTGTTACTAGCACCAAAGTCTTGGAGGCAGAGTCCTTGAGCAAGCAGAGTAGTGGGGAGGATTTTGTTTGACTGAGGTGTGGCAGGCAGACCAAACATATGCCTGGAGATTTCTTTTTCCTTTTCCCCTGCCAAACAGGGTGGGGGAAGAGGGGGGCAAGAAGGCCAGAAATGGTTTATTTCCCATTATGCACAGGTCTTCTTCCAGCAGCCTGCAGTTGGCTGGTGGCTGGAGAAGGGGAATGTTGCTGTCCATATCTGCTGGCTTTTTCTGGATTCAAAAGCTATGCTCAGGCATCCATTTTAGCCTTAATTTTTAAGTCAACATTAAAACTGGTGTATGCATGAATCTGGCTTATTGCTAGGCTTGTTCACAGGCCTTGCTCCTCCCCTTTCTTGAATTTATATCCCAGTTAGAAACTAACTTTGGTTACCTGTGACATATGGATGCAGAAGTGTGGATCACCTGGAGTTAGCTTTCTTCCAAAAAACTAGAGTCCTGATAGAATCCTATTTGGGATGTGTGTGTGGATGCTAACTACAGTTAACTTGTGCACGCCACATTTGTACATTTTTGGAAATCAGAGTTAGTTTCTAATTCATATTCCCCATGTGAGGTAAACTTGCAAGCCCAGCAACAAGCCAGGTTTGGGCACCTGCCAGTTTAATGTCAGCTCAAAGTATAGTCCAGATGCAACCCAGGCTTCCCTTCAGGGATCTGCTCAAGGGAAGGGTCCTTACTGCCAAGGTTTGCATAATTTTTTTTTCTTTTCCACAAGTATTTCCTTTTTTTAATATACACCTTGTATCCCTTTAAAAGATGATTCTCATGTTTTCATATTTCAATATATTTAAGAAGCACCTACATATGAAAAACATTATTTCTGTTTGCACAGGTGTGGACTGTTGCCCAGTAACAAGTGCAGGACTATTTGCAAGTCCTTCAGGCTGCCCATAGCGGATGATCTCCTGCGAGCGCTACTGGCTGCGTAAGTCTGATCCCACAGTAATGTTGTTTAAGTACATAGACAGACCGCAGCTTGTCTGAGGTGTGACAAGTCAGTTATAATGGAGACAAGTGATCATTTTTAATACAATAGATGATATTTTAGTAATGTGTATACATCATTACTCTCTGTGTCGTATTCATATATTTCTTTTGGGCCACTGTCCACTCTCATCAAACAGATTTTGAAAGTTTTTGAGACAATACAAACACTTGCAGGACCATTTACTCAAAATGAGCACGGGATGAGTATATTCCTTATAAGAGACCCCTCCTTCAACTTAATTTTAATTTCCCAAAAATCTACCATCTGCTTTTTAGTTGTAAACTGCGAGAAATTCAGCAGTTCTCATGGCTATGCGTACGTCGATGCTCTCTATTGATCCCTTTGTATGTTCATGTTATAGTAGTTTTCTCTCAATTACGTGTAATCCCACTATAGCCCTCTGATTTATTACATTGGGGTATTGAAATATACACATTAAAAATGTGCTGTCCAGACAGCTGTTTCAGTAATGACACTGTAACATGTTTCTGTGCAGAATGCACAGACTGTAAAAATAGAAACTAATTTTTTGAAGCCTGTGCCACTCTAGGAATATAATAAAGTTATATTTACATAAAGAAAACTAAGGGTGACAGTTTGAATTGTATTTGTTGTTTGGTTTATTGCAGTAGTAGTAGAAGTTAGCCACAAGGTATAGGTAGGAACTCTCTGTCTGGGGCAAGTGATGCACTGTATTCTTGGTGCTGGGGGGGGGGGCAACAGTGGGAGGGCTTCTAGTGTCCTGGCTACACTGATGGACCTCCTGATGACACCTGGTATTTTTGGCCACTGTGTGACAGAGTGTTGGACTAGATGGGCCATTGGCCTGATCCAACATTGGCTTATCTTAGGTTCTTGTGCAGTCTCTGTGTAAGGGGCCCAGAGGAAGGGTCAGATAATGTGCTGAAAAAATGATGGGTGACTGCCTCTACCTGACCCAGTACTGCTTAGACTGCTCATTCTTAAATTTTAGCGGGGTTGATACCCATAGGCTGCGGTCCTACATACACCTTCCTGGGAATAGGCACCCCCTCAATTTGTGTAGATCTCTGCATGTGAAAGCACACCAGCCACCTTTCCCTCTGACTTGAGGTATTGTGAAATTTCCCCAATAATTGTCACTCCTTCCCATCTGTTGAGGACTCTTTGCTGTCCATCTCTGCCACCTTCCCGGCTGATCGCAAGAGCACCTGCCCTCTCTCTCAGTTCATGCTAGTTGGCTTCATCCCCGATACCGCCCTTCTAGCGAAATCACTGTTGGCATTCTTCTTGCCTCCTGTGAATGCCATATTTAGAACACGATCCTTTTGTGCAGGAAGCTATAAAGCAAAGGGTTAAAGGCTCTGGGGGATATAACCGCAGTATTCTGCTGAGGAGGAGAGGCATTTGTGAATGCATGAACTCTAGATTGTATTAAAAGAACAATTGTAATATATGATGTGCATTGTAAAAAGCAAATCAACAAGATCTGTTGTTTTTTATGCCTCATCAGAATCATAGGACATCAGCAGATAATGCTTAGGATTCTCCTTATTTTAAAGGCACCTTAATGAATGCAAGGCACTGTTTTTCAGAAATTCATGAAGTACAGACATTTCAGGGAGTTCCCTGCGGTAGGCAGATGGACAGTCTTGCAATTTGCTGCACGTTCATCATTTCTGACACCTGGTCATGAGCATTTAACAACAGGAGTAAAATAATTCATTTTTAGGACTCCCACTAACCTGAGTAAAATAAATTCATTTTTAGGACTCCCACTAACCTGAGTAAAATAAATTCATTTTTGAAACTCCCACTAACCTGAACTGCCAAAAGATGTTTTGGGACAGCCAGAATCCAGGAGTGAAATAAAGAATTCTGTCTCCTTTTCTGTAAAACAGTAATTTAAATAAATGCAACCAGGGAAGAGAATTATGCCCCATCAGTGGAGAAAAAAGTACTAGGTATTTAAGAGATGGATTTTAGACTTATAAACTGTGGAGGAACAATATGAAGGTGTATTGCATTCATAACCTGATTTTAAATGCATTTCATGAAGGTGAGAGTTTTAGCTAGTCTTTATTGCATGTATTGTATGATTGTTGCCTGTGGACATCAACATTCTCTGAATTGAAACCCAAGATATTTCAAAATATGATGTTGATCTTAAACATGCTACAGACCTATTTGTTGTGAAATACAAAATGGACCAAAGGAATGTAATACTTATCTAAAATATTGATTTAAATCAAATTTGCCATGGCAATTGGATTGTAATTAAGATGACTTCAGGCATCATAAGGGCTTTAATAGTTTCCTACAACAGTATACCATACTTTTTGGCACATTCTGTAAAAACTCCATCCAACAAACTGAAAACTGGAATGCGTTCCTGGTTATTTCCTGAGTTGTATAATACTAATTTTAGAGGTGGGTGAATATGTATGTGTGTGCACGTTTGATACATCAACCCACAGTTTGAACTTTTATGGAAACAGTGAAAAGATAAGTAGATGGATATTGGCAAGACAGTCAATAGTCTTTGGGGGTTTTTAAAAGAGAAAAAAGTCGAATGAGAGGAGCAAGAGAGGTAGATCCAGGTGCCTCCCCCTTCCTGCTCCAGTGCTGTGTAGGTTGTTATCCCTGAGCCTCAGAAGAGTTGTCATCCATATTCTCCTTTTCTGTGAAGCATCTTCTTCTGTTAAACTGTGTTTTGTACAATCAATTTTTGTACCTCTAACCTGCAAACTCTGTTCGTCCAAAAAGTGAAAATTCCACAAATAGATTGCTGTGATGAAAACTGATATGACATGGCAATATGGTTCTCTGTGGCATCATCACCATCAGAGGAGATGAAAAATAATTAGGATTGTATCTACTCTGCATACCTCAAAAAACCCTCCCATAAAAAAGCCTATGACCAAAATTTTATTGCACATGATTGTGCAATTTTTAATATAATGAAGCATGCATCCAAAAATCTGGATTGACTGAGTGATTTGGGGACAATAACTAGGAAATGTATGGTGAGAAGGGTTGAAAGTCAAAAGTGGCTCAGGAATATTAGCCACTGGAAAAGGACAAGGAGTTATCTAGGTCTTTGGGCTATCGTCACCTGCTCTTAAAAAATGTGCATCTCTGAGTCCTGACATTTTCACCAGGCACAGCTCACACATCTGCCAGGTTTTCATCCCCCTAGCCATGAGGGTTAAAATTATTGTTGTATCATTCTTCCCCAGTCTTTTTGGAACCAGCCAAATATCAATACTATACTTTAAGCACTGAAGGGTAAAACCTATTAATAAAATTACAGGATGTTATATAATGTAGCAATCTAGTGTTTCTCTGTTGGATTCTTATATGATGAAAGCTAGTGGTTATTTAAAAAAAAAGACTTACAAGAGCTATAGAGTTAGTGGAAGAATACTTTTTATCCTGCAGTCTATGTGCAAATCAGGTTTCATGCCAGTTGACTTTTATTGGGTGTGTTTGCTATTTAAACATAAAGGATTTGGGAATAATTATTATCTAGGATTTTGGATATAATCTCTAAAAACATGGGAATTTATTGGTTCAGTATTTTTATGTGATAAGTGATTGCTTGTCCCAAACCAGAAGAGTAATTTTAATAATGTAAAACATATTTGTGGCAGTTGTCCAGATTCCCCATCAGCAAGCAAATGCAGGAACACAGCTAGACCTGCTTTGATTTGGCTCAGGGGGTCACTACCATGATTTTCTTCTACTTGGTTTTGTTGGGTTTTTAATATCTCTAATTCAAACATAAATGTTTGATATTTCTCTCTCCCCTAACTACAGGAAAACTAATACTTTATTAGCAGTAATTTCTGCCTGTCCCTTTCGAGCTAAAATTCCTAGACCACTCAACTAAAAGCTCATGGTATATCATCCAAGATAAGGGCATTTAATATTCAGTTAGGATGCACTTCTTAGAATTCAGAGTGTAAAGTGAACTCTCTTTACCAAGTCCTCCCTATTACTAATGGCAGCTAGAGGGACCAAGACTCCCCCGCCAACACTTCAGGCTAGCAGGTCAGCAAAGGACAGCAAAGAAAGCAGAGAGGTAGAGGCAAAGAAAGCAAAAGGAAGAGGTCCTGTTGCTAGTCTGTTCATTTTGCTTTCCTTTGAATTTCTCTTGCTTTTTTCTGCACTGTTTATTCAGTGTAACAATTGTGAATCCTCCCACAAATAAAATGAATCCCTTTATTTTTAATAGTTCCACCATTTTGCTTTAGCCTTAGTTTTAAAATTTATAATGTATAATTCCTAAAGATAGTGGAGAGATTCAGTCAGACATCATGGGAAACCTTGGCTTAATTAAACTAACTATGCTTTGTGCGATTGTCTGAATGCAGGCCACTCTATTAACTATGGTTAGTTAGGATTTATAAAACCAAGACTAGAAGTCAGGGTTTGAAGTTGGTTCATTAATAAGGTTTACCAAGCAGGGCCTGGCAACCGTGGGATTTGGGGGGGTGGGGGCAGGCTACATGGGGGGGGCGAATGCTATTGGTAATAGTGTGACATTACTTCTGGGGATACTCAGTCAAAAGTGACATCATGTATTCTGGTAATTGTCAGAAACTCTATGGTAAAACTACAGTTTCCAGAGATGCATAGAGACAACTGACATCACTTTAGGGTTTTTCCCAGAAAGGACATCATACCATCAGCCCACCAGCAATTTTTTTTTTTCTCCTGCAGCCTCTTGAGCTGCAGCAGGAAGAGAGGGTTGTTTGCGGAAGGTCTCCTGCCATGAGAGGCCAGACAACCCTATTCATTAAGTATAGTTTTTACTGTGGTTGCACATGATGTCTGCATGTAGACATCCTGGTTTAATCCTGGCCTGTTCTCTGCTGATTCCCTCTCAGGCAACCATAAGTGAATAATATTTGACAAGGTAAATCACAGTTTGAGTGTCTGTGAGATGAATCCTGGTTTCATCATAGTCATCAAAATAAACCATGGTTTCATGTTGTGTCTGAACTAAGCCTCTGTGTTATGTATTTGAGATGTTTTTTGGGGGGAAGTGTGCTGGAGTGAAGTAGGAGAACTGAACATTCAGCATTCAGAGAGGTGCCCTTTGTGTGCATGGCCAGACAGAGAAGGAAGGCTGATCACTTGTTTGCAGGATAAGAGGAGGGGGACAAAGACTCAGGTCTAGGTTTCATCTCCACCTTTCCCCCCAAACAGGCAGCACTATTAGAACTGACAGCTCTGATAATTCAGGAGGGATGGATGTCTGTTCAAGTTCACCAAATAATATAATGTATCAAAAGAATAGCCTAACATATTAATTTTGTGCAATAGCTTGTCTGTGAGCTCATTTCCAGATACTGTTCAAGACATAGTCAAAGCATATTTTTAAATATCCAGTTCAAAATCAAAATAAATGAATTGCCTTAAATCAGCTTTATTTTCTTTTATTCAATGGCATTTGTTAATTTTTCTATTTTAGCTCTGCTTGAACAAGGTTTTTCTATAGATTTGCATTTGGTAGACCTAAAGTGATAAGGTTCATATTGTGTAGAAGAGATAAAAGTACTATATTAGAAGTCAAAAATACAAATTGAATACAATAATGTAATAGTATGATGATGATGATGATGATAATTATCATAAAATTAAGATTTATACATCAAGATATTGGGTTAGATCCTGATCGGAGGGGTGTGTGATTTGTGGTCAATTCTCCCTTCACACACAGACCTCTTATTCACCCTTTATGCTTTTCCTTGGGGGTTCCTTGTTCCTCAGGAGCAGCATTTCAGAGGGCATTCTGGGCTGCACTGGAAGGAGGGAGGCAAGAAAATTGTGTCCCACTGATAGAAATATTTCTGGGAGTGGATATTTTGGCAGAATCCAAACCATTATATAAAATGCAGAAAAGAGAGCGGTTTCCCTCTTTCATTAATCTATGTACCTGTCAATCTTAAGGTTTTAAATTACAAGAACACCTATTGTTGTCAAGTAAAATACTAGAGTACAATATTTACTGAGTATATGCATTATCCAATCTAATTTTAGGTTTGAAGATGGCAAGGAAAACGTAAATTATAAGAAATTAGTTGATGGGCTAAACTGGAGAGAACATCCAATTCCAGCTTTCCAGACCATCTTAATTCCTCTACAGGTAAATTTTTAAAAATTTCTGATCAAAAAGCCCAGGAATGTTATACATCAGTGGTAGTTTATATGCAGAATCAAGCATGTGTTTTTTAAAGACTCACACAAGTAATAAGGAATAACAAGTTTTACTTCTGCAGTTATAAGAACTACAAACCCAGTTCTACCAAGTCCCACTGGAAATATTGAGAGTGTTTATGCATTCTAAATATTCTGTACTATAAAGGAGATAGGATGATAGATGCAGGGATGGTACTTACCTTGAAATCAGAGACGCCAATGTTGGATCAGGCCAAAGGCCCATCCAGTCCAACACTCTGTGTCACACAGTGGCCAGAAATACCAGTGCCATCAGGAGGTCCAGCAGTGGGGCCAGGACATTAGAAGCCCTCCCACTGTTGACCCCCCCCCAAGCACCAAGAAGACAGAGCATCACTTGCCCCAGAGCCCCTAGCTATACCTTGTGGCTAATAGCCACTGATGGACCTCTGCTCCATATGCTTATCTAATTCCCTTTTGAAGCCATCCATGCTTGTAGCACCCACCACTTCCTGTGGCAGTGAATTCCATGTGTTAATCACTCTTTGGGTGAAGAAGTACTTCCTTTTATCCATTCTAACCCGACCGCTCTGCAGTTTCATGGAGTGCCCACGAGTTCTTGTATTGTGAGAAAGGGAGAAAAGTACCTCTTTCTCTACCTGCTCTTTCCCATGCATAATCTTATAAACCTCGATCATGTCACCCCTCAGTCGTCTTTTCTCCAAGCTAAAGAGCCCTAAGCGCTTTAACCTTTCCTCATAGGGAAAGTGTTCCAACCCTTTTATCATTCGAGTTGCCCTTTTCTGCACTTTTTCCAAAGCTATAATATCCTTTTTAAGGTGTGGTGACCAGAACTGCACACAGTATTCCAAATGAGGTCTCACCATTGATTTATATAGGGGCATTATTATATTGGCTGATCTGTTTTCAATACCCTTCCTAATAATCCCCAGCATAGCATTGGCCTTCTTTATTGCAGTCACACACTGTCTCGACATTTTCAGTGAGTTATCCACTACAACTCCAAGATCTCTCTCTTGCTCAGTCTCTGCCAGTTCAGACCCCATCAATGTGTATTTATATTTAGGATTTTTGGCTCCAATGTGCATCACCTTGCACTTGGCCACATTGAACCCCATTTGCCATGTTGACGCCCACTCGCCCATCCTTGACAGATCCCCTTGGAGTGCCTCACAATCCTCACTGGTTTTCACCACCCTGAACAACTTTGTATCATCCGCAAATTTAGCCACTTCACTGCTTACTCCCATCTCCAAATCATTAATGAACAAGTTAAAAAGCAGTGGACCAAGTACTGATCCCTGCGGTACCCCACTGCTTACCACCCTCCACTGAGAAAATTGCCCACCTACACTCACTCTCTGTTTTCTATGAACTAGCCAGTTTTTGATCCATAAAAGGACTTGTCCTTCTATCCCATGATTTTTGAGCTTACTTAGGAGCCTTTGATGAGGAACTTTATCAAAAGCTTTCTGGAAGTCAAGGTAAATAATATCTATTGGATCCCCCTTGTCCACATGTTTGTTCACCCCCTCAAAGAACACTAACAGGTTAGTGAGACAAGATCTTCCCTTACAGAAACCGTGCTGAGTCTGCCTCAATAGGTTTTGTTCATCTATGTGCCTACTAATTCTTTCCTTAATAATGGTTTCCACCAATTTACCCGGTATCGACGTCAGACTGACTGGCCTGTAATTTCCCGGATCTCCTCTGGAACCCTTTTTAAAGATGGGAGTGACATTAGCTACCTTCCAATCCTCAGGAATGGAGGCAGATTTTAAGGAAAGATTACATATCTTTGTCAGGAGATCTACAAGTTCACATTTGAGTTCTTTCAGAACTCTCGGATGTATGCCATCTGGGCCTGGTGATTTTTCAGTTTTTAAGTTGTCTATCAGTTTTAGGACCTCCTCTCTCGTCACCTCAATCTGACTCAGGTCTTTCAACACCCCTCCTGAAATCAGCATGTTGAACAGCATGTGCATGTATGTTCTTAAAAACTCATATCTCTTGCATAAATTCTGAGTAACCTCAGAGAAGCCAAGTTAAACACAAGGTTCCCAACCCCTTGATCTTCTTCGTGGTCTCTGTGCATCACACCCTTGGGATACACTGCGCCTGCGCTGAACCTTCTCGGTACCGATGGCTAGCAAAAAGGGATTTTCGCGCCTCTCCCAGGTCACGCGCCGGCTCCACTGCGCATGACCAAGGAGGGGCACGCAGATCCCGCCAGTTCTCTTCTGACCGCCGCGCTGGTAGGACGCCTTCTGCCTCGGTCTGCTAAGTACCAAACTTTTTTTGCTAAACTTGCGTTTAGTTAGTTTCTCTTTCTTTATTTTTGTAGTTAGCATTTTTCTTTCGGTGTTTGTTCTTTATTTACGTTCCCCTCCCGCTGGCCTATGGCCCCGCGGTGGGGTTGTTTCAAACGGTGTAGGACTTGCGGCCTTAAAATATCCCCCACCGACGGGCACTCGCTTTGCCTCGTTTGTTTAGGGGAGTCGCACTGTGTCTCTAAGTGCAGACATTGCCGAAAGTTTTCGAACCAGACGAGAAAAAACAGAGCAGCTCGTCTACACTTGGCCCTGATGGAGAAGGCACTATCTCCACAGTCCTCTTCACCGTTGGACACGTCCGGGCACGCCTCGATGTCCACCTTGGCTGCGGACACTTGTCCTCCCGTTCCGGGATCGTCGACGTCGACGGTCGCAATCGATGCTTCGGCACCGAAACGATCGACGCCGATAAAGGACCACCCCGTACCTTCCAAGATCCGGAAGCAGGGGTCATCCGTTGCCGTACCTTCCAAGATCCGGAAGCAGGGGTCATCCGTTGCCGTACCTTCCAAGATCCGGAAGCAGGGGTCATCCGTTGCCGTACCTTCCAAGATCCGGAAGCAGGGGTCATCCGTTGCCGTACCTTCCAAGATCCGGAAGCAGGGGTCATCCGTTGCCGTACCTTCCAAGATCCGGAAGCAGGGGTCATCCGTTGCCGTACCTTCCAAGATCCGGAAGCAGGGGTCATCCGTTGCCGTACCTTCCAAGATCCGGAAGCAGGGGTCATCCGTTGCCGTACCTTCCAAGATCCGGAAGCAGGGGTCATCCGTTGCCGTACCTTCCAAGATCCGGAAGCAGGGGTCATCCGTTGCCGTACCTTCCAAGATCCGGAAGCAGGGGTCATCCGTTGCCGTACCTTCCAAGATCCGGAAGCAGGGGTCATCCGTTGCCGTACCTTCCAAGATCCGGAAGCAGGGGTCATCCGTTGCCGTACCTTCCAAGATCCGGAAGCAGGGAGAATCATCTCCAGAACCATCCAATGTATCCTCCGATTCAGATGGCTTTTCTGAACATATCGAGGATGTAGATGCACAGCCCACTTCGCAAGATGTGGAAGCGGATTTACCTATTTCTCCATCAGAGGATGTTAAGTCTTATGGAGATTTTATTCAACGCATGGCATTA